ACACACACACACACCACACACACAACACATACATATACATACACACACATATACATACATATACACACACACACACACACACACACACACATATATTTTTAATAACCATGCCTGAGCAGTCTCTGCACCTGGAGGGTCAGCCTCAATTAGTACTCGTGCCCTCAAGCGCCTTATCTGACTGTCCCTTCACTGTCCATCCACTTTATCTGATTCTGATGGCCACTTCCACCAAACTCTGCTCACCTTACAATTATCCTATGTGGTTCAATCTAGAGGACACTTTGAAAATTTCCCTCCTTTAGCCCTGGCCAGGTAGCTCACTTGGTTAGTGTATTCCTACCATCCCAAGATGGCGGGTCCATCCCCGGTCAGCGCACATACAAGAATCAACCAATGGATGCATAAATAAGTGGAACAACTCAATGTTTTTCTCCCTCTCTCAAAAAAAATCAATAAATTTTAAAAAAATTAAAATTTCCCTCCTTTAAATAAAGAGACATAGACATTTTCTGATTCACAGACTCTTCTTTTTTTTTGGTTAATCCTCACCCGAAGATATTTTTCCATTGATTTTTAGAGAGAGTGGAAGAGAGAGGGAAAAACGGAAATATCGATGTGAGAAAAACACATCGATTGGTTGCTTCCTGAACACACCCCGACCAGGGCCAGGGAAGCTGCAACCAAGGTACGTGCCCTTGACCTGCTCTTGACAGGAATCGAACCCAGGACCCTTCAGTCCCTGGGCCAACGCTCTGTCCACTGAGCCAAACCAGCTAGGGCTGACTCACAGACTTCTTGATCTTTCTTCAGCATATGACACTCTCAAGTACCCTCTCCTTGAAATGCTTTGGAGTCCTTTGCCTTCTAGGACACTTTATTTTTTTAATTTTTAATATGTTTTATACATTTCAGAGAGAGGAAGGAAGAGGGAGAAGTAGAAACATGAATGATGAGAGAGAATCATTGATCGGCTGCCTCCTACACACCCTCTACTAGAGATCAAGCTCACAACCCGGGCATGTGCCCTGGCCAGCATTGAACCATGACCTCCTGGTTCATGGGTGATGCTCATCCACTGAGCCATACCGGTCAGGCTCATTTTTTTTTCCTTTTGACAAATATTTAGTATTCCAGGTGCTGTTCTAGGACCTGAACCATCATTTCTTGCCTGAATTTCCACCATTCACCAACCTCTTAATAGGACTCCCTGATTCTATTCATCCATCCATCCATCCATCCATCCATCCATCCAATACAGCTAAAGCAGTGGTCGCCAACCTTTCAGACCTCATGGACCACTGGTTGGCAACCGCTAAGCTAAAGTATTCTTCCTAAAATGCAAATGTTACTCCCCCTTTGAAAACTCTTCAGGGTTTCCTATTCGATCAAATCCAAAACCTCTTAGTACAGGGGTGGGCAAACTTTTTGACTCGAGGGCCACAATGGGTTCTTAAACTGGACCGGAGGGCCGGAACAAAAGCATGGATGGAGTGTTTGTGTGAACTAATATAAATTCAAAGTAAACATCATTACATAAAAGGGTACGGCCTTTTTTTTTTTAGTTTTATTCATTTCAAACGGGCCGGATCCGGCCCGCGGGCCGTAGTTTGCCCACGGCTGTCTTAGTACATGAGGCCCTTCATCAAAAAGCAAGCAAAGAGGTAGAGAGGCCCCCATTGGATCAGCCCTTCCTTCCACTCTCATAGCCCAGGGCTCTGAGAACAAAGGGTCCCCTAAGTATTCCATCCTCAAGATTAGAAAAAGCTTCAATCTAAATCCCATTCTTGTCCGGCCACTGTGGCTCAGTGGTTGAGCGTCGACCTATGAACCTGGAGGTCACGGTTTGATTCCCAGTGAGGGCATATGCCTCGGTTGCGGGCTTGATCCCCACGGTAGGGCATCAATGATATTCTCTCATCATTGATGTTCCTATTTCTCTGTCCCTCCCACTTCCTCTCTGAAATCAATAAAAATATATTTTTAAAAAATAAATTCTTGCCCTAGCTGGCTTGGCTCAGTGTATAGAGCGTCAGCCTGCAGACTGAAGGGTTTGATTCCAGTCAAGGGCACATGCCTGGGTTGTGGGCTTGATCCCCACTAGGGGGCGTGCAGGAGGCAGCCAATGGATGATTCTCTCTCATCATTGATATTTCTATCTCTCTCTCCCTCTCCCTTCCTCTCTAAAATCAATAAAAATATATTTTTTTAAAAAAATTCCATTCTTGAGAACTCACTAAGTATATAAATGGCTGAGAAGTAAAACCATAAAGGAAACTTTTCCCCCCTTTTTTATGGAAAAGCCTATTTGGGCCAGAGAAGGCTTTTCTCTGAACATCAGTCCCAGGGACTAAGTGGGAAAATCTGCTATCTGGGCTCATCCCCTTGGACACAAAATCCACTTTGCTATAATGGTCACCTGCAAACCCTTCAGAGAGTGAACAAGCAAAATAAAGTGAAGCCTGTATACGCAGGGGGTTTCAGAAAGAGGCACTGAGCTAAAATGACAGCGAAGTGCCAAAAATACGAGGGCGACCCAAATTTTTGGTGGAAATTTAAATGTTCAACATATTAATGGAAACATTTACATTTGTTATCATGTTTTTCTTTCTTTTTTAAAAAAAATATATTTTATTGATTTTTTACAGAGAGGAAGGGGGAGGTATAAAGAGTTAGAAACATCGATGAGAGAGAAACATCGATCAGCTGCCTCCTGCACACCTCCTACTGGGGATGTGCCCGCAACCAAGGTACATGCCCTTGACCGGAA